GAGTTTTTATTACAATCTGTTATGATTTCTGAAGCAATTAGTATCTTCTTATAGTAATAATAACTAATGGCTTCAGGATGTCGTGGTGTAGTTTATTTATATACGTTCTAAAACAATGTGTATGCCTAAAAAAATACAAGAAAATATGAATTCACAAATTTAACACACTTACACATCAATTATATTAGAAAATAGGTAATCTATCAAAGGAAAAAATTAAAACTAAATGAAAACTTAAACTTCATTAAGAGCGTGATAATCAAGGTTTCGGAAACTCGGCAGACCAAGTTCTAAATGCGAGACAGCCTGCCTATTCACTGGACCATTCAAAGTGGCAGATAGGCAAGTTGTTGGAGCTTCTTACAAAACGTCTTGTAAAAGAATACTTGGCGATTAAAAAGAGATGATGATTGGTTGGTGATTTTATGCTAGTATTTCACGTCTGTTATACACATAATTTTAGTATAATTTTATCCTTTTAATTGACGTAATATAAGTGCACATGGCACCTAAACTTTTTAAACGTGTCTATAAATGAATTTGTGTCATAGATCCATTTAGGATAATGGCCGTAAATCTAAATTGAGATCTAGCCGTAGGTGAGAACAACTAACTTCCTGCTAGATTATTCTATGTTGTAGGCGGATTTCTACATTAAGATTTGCAACCTAAAGGAGGCAATTGTAAGGTCGTCTATAAGTGAAGCGCGGAAGCGTTATGTCATAAGGCACAAAGGAAAAAAACTACATTTACGTTCCTAATGCTTTCAGTAATAAGCCGACTCTCTCTACGATTTTTTTACTACGATTGCTTTAAACTTTAGTGCAACGACTGGGTTTAAAATAAAGTAAACAAAGATAGTTGACTGGAGCAAAGATTTTGGTCCACTAATGAATGCCTACATAAGCAAAGTTATAATTATTGGCAGCTCTTATCTCACGTCCAAAATTGATTGGACTAGGATACTTCCTGAACATATCGACGGTGTGACTTTGACTATTAGGGGGCCGATGGCTGGCCATGCGTCATACTCGTGAACGGGTGCTACTTGTGGTGACTGGTTGGACTTGAATTTGTGTATGCGGTAATGTTAGTTATTTCGACTATGCTAGTCTAGATGTCGAAAAGCTAGGACATCACGGACTGTCATGCTAAAACAGTGCAGGCCGCTTCTCGAGACACGCCACACTTAACCATATCATACGCCGGTCCCTTGCCACTGTAGGTGATTGATTAACGTGTTGTAATGAAACAGTGATGTGTTCTGACAAGAACATATCAGAATAGATACGGTCGTGTGTTCTGAAAAGAACAGTTTCATCGTGTCGTAGGACACGGTAATATGTCCTGCCAAGGACAGTTGTTAAACGTTTTGTCGTGAAACAAGAATAATATGTCCTGAAAAGGACAGTTGTTAGACGTTTAGTCGAGATACAATAATTTGTTCTGAAAAGAACAGTTATTAGCGTTATCGTAAGGCTACGATACCGAAGTGTTCTAAGAAGAACACGTTCGTACGCTTCGACGGCTAATTTTTAGGTATAAATGTACACAGTTTTGTAAATAAATTCATTCATTATTCCATCTTCACCTCTTCTCTACAAGTAATTAGGGAGTTTTATTTTAACATCGACCAAATAATTCTGAAGCAATCAACCCTGATGCAAACATCCCTAAACCACCGTCAACGTAACAAGTCTACTTGAGCCGGCTGGAATTGCAAGAGATGATGGCAAGAGACCGGACGGTATGAGTTTGATTCCATGGAAGATGGGCCGGGTGCTGGTATGGGATGCAACCTGTTCGGACACACTGGCCCCTTGCCATCTACATGGAACCAAAAACAGAGCTGGTGCGGCTTGTGATGCGGCTGAAAAAGCTAAAGCATGCAAATACAGGGGTCTAGGCTCCAAATATGATTTTGTCCCATTCGGTGTCGAGACCCTTGGTCCGTGGGGTCCTTGGTCGTGGGGTTAGTCGACATCACAGACCGAAGAGCTGGCAGCTACCTCAGACAAAGAATTAGTTTAGCTATTTAAAGGGGGAACGCTGCTAGTATCTTCGGAAGCTTGCCTAAAGGGTCTTCTTTTAATAATATATCTTAGTTATTATATTTTTAGGTTAGTTAATGCTTTTTGTAATATTAATTTATGTTAGCAGTATTATGTTATTTATATATTATTTAGAATAATAATAATGTTATATTATCTTGATATGATACTTAATACTTATTATATTTACTATTAATTAGTAAAAATGTCATGTGGAACATGAGGCGATTAAAAAGAGTGGCGGAGAGGCCCTTGATTTGAGAACTGGCAGTAAATGTAATATTAGAAGTATTTAATATATATTTCTTGATTGATGTTCTTAAGTGTACATTGTGTTACCTAAATGAATAAATGATTTTGAATTTGAATACAGTTAAGAATTTGGGGGGGCTTGATCAAAATTTATCCTGGGTATTTATCCAGCATGTGAAAGAAGTTAGCCGAAAATTGTATGGTGTCTCTAGTATCCTTCGACGTCTCAGTAATTTTCTTCCCTTCAGCACTAAAACCTCACTTTCACACTCTCTCCTTCTGCCACTACTAGACTACACAGATTCTTGCACTTCCGTTCTAAGCGAGCCCTATTTGCTTGGCTCCTTCTCTATTTCCCTTAAAATTTCTACTGTACAAACATTACCTGTCCACATCGTATCCCTAACATTCCTACTAACTGATGTGAAACTGATCTAAAATTATGGTGATTCATGTGCTCTTTTTCTTTTTTTAAATACGGACAGTCTTTAATTCACTGTTTACATATGTTTTAATTGCTTTATTTTGTTCTATTCGTTTTGTCTATAGGACTTATGTATTTTTGGATTACTTGCCTTTTCTTTTTTTCTTTCCTCACAGTGGTTGCCTGGAAGAGATCGCTCGAAAGCGATAAGGCCGGCAGTTGCCCTCCTTTTCATTTAATCAAGTCAATTTCATTATATTTCTGTATGCAACGAAGTCAGGCGCTCAAACTTACAAAGGCATTAAAAATATTTTTATGAAGACAAACGTTTCGTGTTATCGTGTTACACATGCAATAAAAGAAGGGAATTTAGGTGAGATATTTTATAATTTATGGCGCTATTTGAGATATATTTAATAATCTTTTGTGTATTTGGTCTGATAAAACATGATAGAATATACGTCAAGTATCATATAAAAATGTTAGTATATCTAAGTGTATATCTAAGCGGAAGCTACCTTCTGTCTGCGGTCATGGCACCCAATTGGACCGAAAGAGTAGAATATAACATTTATTATAGTTATTTGTACAAGTATCAATAAAAAAAATCCAAAAATTATTTTAATGTTTATTTAATAAATTAATTAAGAGTTTAGCATAAAAGAACACATTAACACAACCGGTATTACAATACAAATAAAACAATCATATAAAAAATCGACTATATGCACAAACACAGCCATATTTACAACTTTTAAATAATCTAATTTGAAACAAAAACAATAAATCTTAAAGTATTATATTTTATGTCTAAGACGTTTACAAACAATGAACATAGACACAACAATATATTTCACCTTTAAATAAATTACATCTGACTACTACTGATTGAGCTGCAAATGAATACTTTTGGTATTTAGACATATTACATAGCTAGGAAATGCGAGCTTATAGCTAGAATGTATAGTAGAGCTTGGCAAGAATTTGCTTGGCGATTATCTAATCGCGAAACTATTAAATTATTGTAATTGACAATAACGAGCTATCAATCTAGGCTAATAAATAATTTTGTATCACACCACTCTTAATATGACGTTAACTAATTTATAGTTTCATTGAACTTGAGGCCTATATTAATAAAATTTTAAACTCATTATATAATTTTGTTTCACTCGTGTTTAATTACGTTCTTATTTATTTAATGGCATGAAAATTAAAATAAATTAACAAAAACTTAAATTAATTTACATTTTAAATATTACCTCATTTAATTTTTATTGAAATAGGTTAATGATTAAATATGCTACTTATATTTAAGCGTAACGTTAGAATTGAGCATAAAAAACAAAACAATATATAGAAAACAACACGAACAGAAAATCATGTCTTGTCTGTAAAGTTTTTGGCTATTCTACCACCGCGATCGGCTCGGTTCACTGACTTTTTCCTCAAAGATAAACGAACTCACTTTATATATCTAGTAATAATTAGGATAATAAATACGAACGATAATGCTAAATCCGTCCAAAAATAATTTCCAGACGTCATCGTTATAAATAGTTTAATAAAATGTTTATTCACAATAATCTTTGCGATAATTTGACAAACCTTATCGGCGTTCTATTAAAAGCCCTTCCTAATTAATATATTTGATAGACGATCAAAGTTTGTTGTCAAGTGTGTTCGCAAACAAGGACTTGATACGATCGGACTATCACGAGACCGACAGCCCTGCGTGAAAACTTGCTATCATAAAACTACGTCATAATTTACATTTTTATAACATGCCACTTTAGGGACTATGTTTATTAATATGCCATAAATTAAAATAAAGTATTCTTAAATCTTATCGATACCTACTTGAGAATGACGAGTAATCTGCAATAATATGTCTAAAATATATAATGCCATAAAACGATAGTTATGGCTGTAAAAATATATAGATTGTATATGTTTTGTTACTTTTGCATTTTGTGTCTCGATTAGCATGATTATATTATAGTTGCTAATGTAATCATAATTGATGATTGATTAATCAAGAAAGATTTGCGTTATATTGCTATACTAAGGGAGACTTCGGTATATATTATGTGCTGTCAAATAGCGTCTAGGTACTTAATCTTTTGAACGATTTGAGCTGCCGTAAGTAGAACGTCGGCTATAAACTTCAACTTTTCTAACCATTCCGATACATTTTAAATACTCTGAATGTTTGTTTTGAACTCTTTTAGTATTAAAAATAATTAATTTTCCTAAAGCACATAACGGACTGATTAGTTCGTTTTTACAGTGCAATTTTGAACCTTAATGCCCAAAAACTTTCTCTTTATATTGACTAATGTACAGACACCCTTACTCAAAATGGTGGAAAGTGAAGAAGAGAGATTCAGGAAAGTAATTAGAAGTCCCAGAAGACCGGGCAAAGCTGTGGAGGCACATGACGCAAGGCTTCGGTATATTTCGCGGTCTACTGCTTGAAGACTTCTGTAGTTGTCTATTCTACCGACGTCGACTCGACTTATTTGTTTGTACTGTAAGAGAACATATTAATATAGTTATACAAGATTATACATTTTCATAATTTCTATTAGGTAAAGCTAAAAGCGTGCGATTCTCGACCCCGAGGTCGTTCGATCAAACCTTGGTGGTGCACCGGAAGTTCTTTTTCTATATCAGCAATACCGGACACCGGCATTCCGACCCCGAAAATTGATAGCGTCACAAACGTGTGTGACAAACTGGGAGAGGGAATGTACTACAAACTACTTTAACATGATTCATCGAAGGAATAAGATATACATTCGCATACCTGTGTATCGGATATGATGAGGGGTCTGTCCATTACAACCCATGTGACGACTTCCTGGCAGTTGGGAGTCGTAAGTGATCCGTGATATGTGTAGAAGGACTGCGGCTCGGGGCTTAAGAGACGTCTAGAAAGTAAATATTCATTACTTGCTGAGTTTCCGCTTACGACGATGTCGCATCTAGCTATAACTTTAGGGAATTGGGAATAGAAACAGCTACCGGTACATTTTGACTTTTTAGTTAACAATAAACGCAACTTTTATATTTGCAGTCATGGAATTCAAATATTTTAAACGTAATATCAAACTAAAAATAAATCAGTGGCGCTACAACCTCTTTAGGTCTTGGCCTCAGATTTCTGAATCTGTTTCATGATTATTTTTAAATCTAATAGGCAAGTAGGTGATCAGCCTCCAGTGCCTGACAGACGCCGTCGACTTTTCTAAGACATGTCGGTTTCATCACGATGTTTTCCTTCACCGTTCGAGCAAATGTTGAATGCGCACATAAAAAGAAAGTGCATTGGTGCACAGCCGGAGATCGAACCTACGACCTCAGGTAAGAGAGTCGCATGCTGAAACACTGCTCAATGTGTAATATGAAACTACTTACGTGAAATCTAAAACAGCTGGATCTGGGTACACCGAGTTCCTCTCCACCAGTTTTGGAAAGTAACTTTCGATTTCTCCGAGGGCATAATCACTAGCACCACCACTGTTTACCTGGAGGTGAACAAATTAGGAGAGATCAATAAAACAACTTACGACGGAACCTAATCGTGATTATTTTAATTGTCTTTATCGCAATCGCTCGTTAATACTATCAGGACAGCAATAGGTCTTAAAGGTGAAAAATTAATCCAGTTTAGAGATCTATAACTCTGTATTAGTAATAATCGCTAAACCCTTCTGATCCACATACAATTAAGATTGTGTATACTGCATTATGTCAGTCGATATTATCTTACTGCATATCGGTATGAGGTGGAGCGGCATCGTCTTCAATGCTGAAAATTGAGCGCACACAACGCGCTATTCTGAAGATATCCTATAGGAAACCTTTTCGCTACTCAACTTCAAAATTGTACAACGAAACAAGACTTTTAATTGTTAGACTTTTATACATAATTGCAATAGTATGTAAGCAGACTTTTTTTGAAATAAATTTGTGTTATGTACAAATCATAAAGTAAAGCCCACAATCTACCTACAACAGGATATTTTACCTAAATATCCTGTTATGGTGTAGAATTATTTTTTTTTTCTTTCTTTTTTTCTAAAGATGTTTATGTTGATTGCATGTTCACTATATTACTTAGTAAACCTATTCAATTTAACTTTTGCCCGATGGACATGAACATGTACGAAATAGGTTTGAATAGTTGTTGAATTCGGATCGTCTATTAATAGAGTTACGGAGTTACGGATATTGTTACCTGACAAAGGATAGCAATAACGCTGAGGCCGTCCGGCCGCTGAAGTGCCTCGTCCAACGTGAGGCCAGTCTTTATGTGCACCATGTGAATCTCCATCGGATATCTATAAAGATTTATTCTTTTATTGATGTGCCAGATGAAAACGCGTTTGATTGACATCATTTTATTGTTATTTATTTATATTTCGAATTGTTATTTAGTAGGTTGAATGGAGACATTGTTCCATTCAAATTGAGATAATTTCACACTATATTATAATCTAAACGCATTCCGCAAAGTGTATTTTGAATCAAATATTTAAGTATAAGTAGTTCACTGCATTTGCAGAATTCCTATTTGTTCCTAAGTACCTACTAACATTCTCATTCTATTTACTCACTTCATTCCGTCGATGGCATGTTCAGAGAGCCAGTGTAGGTGAAATTGCATGAAGCTATAGTTTCCTCTCAGTGGGCCGCCGTACACCATCGGAACCGGTGCATCATCAACCAACGTCCATTTCACTACATGAAAAAATATATATGTAAAAGCAGCAGTTCCTTAATGCAGCAAAGTAGAAATAAGAAGATTTAAATGCCAGGTATACTTACACGTGTGACCATCATTATAGGCTGTGACGTTGACCTTGTTATAACCACGGAACACTAAAGGTCCCCTTATGTGAAGTCCATGCCGGTCCACCAGTGCACTACGGCTCATTATATTGATGGGTGACTGCATTGTACCTTCGTTGCATTGCCCAGGCCATTGGGTTTCATCTGAGGGGAAAACTTTGCTTTTGGATGACAATTACACTAACAATGTTATACTACAATGATACTGTAATCACTAACTCTTGATTTTGACCTTCTTGTACCAGCAGAATGCTACAGTACAAAAGGTAAAACAGTTTCCCACCGAAAGGTTCCTTTCTTTGGTGTTGTGCATTTGCTATCTGTACGCTAATTGTTTTTATTTAAATTATCTAATACCATGTAGAAATAAGGTAAAAGTGACATGATATAGAGTCGACTTTGCGGTGAAGTTATTTTAAGAGTTATTATTAGTTTAATGATTCTCGTTGAAAGGTACTTGTTGCCTGAATGCTCTCATTGAATCTTGTAAAGCTTGTGAGGTCTAGTTTCAAATTGTATGTCGACACAGTGACCTATATTCTGAAGAGCTCAAGCTCACGTTAATTGGATTTACGTCTCTTGGGCAAAGAGCGGCAAACAGCTAAATATTATATTTGCAATTAGTTTTATTGCATTTTGGAAAATATGCATTGAATAGCGTCATAGAATAGAAATTACTTACAGTCATATGACCACTCTGCTCCATGGATTGTACCTGTAACAATTAAATTCCTTATAATTCCTTCTAGTATTAAGATGAACAAAAAATAAAGGAGTTACAACTTTCAAGGCGATTTTTTACGTAGTCAGTGTTGTCGTACTAAGTTTTTTATCGATATCGGTCCAGTCACATCTACACGTACTTTAACTTATCTTGATACATGAACGGATGCTGGCTTATTATGTTGATTTGAAAAATCTAAATATTTTATCAAATTAAGGGCCACTCCAGATAACGATGACATAAGATTTACGTGGATAATATGTCAGATACGCCAAATTGCAAGATTAAATAGTGCTGACGAAATATGATAATGTCACAAGGTAAATAGGAGAACAAACTTGGTCATCTGTCATATTACTATTGTTATGGAAATTTTGTTAGATAATAATAGTTGCCAAAGTTCAGTCCTTAATAACTTTATTGGAAATTGGTTTTGTTAAAATGAATTCTAAGCTTCAAACATTAAGGTACAAAGTGAGACGACGTACGTTCGTACGTTTATGTTTTTAAGAGAAAGTTAAAAAAAACAAATAAATCTACTTTTTTTTTCATTTTATTCAGATTTGGTCAGTACCATTTTACGGTAGTATAAAAAGCAAGAGTTACCCTTGGCCTGAAAGAGTTTAAGCACAATTTATTTATTTTTCAGTTCATAATATACTATTTATTGATTTTACTACAAAAATATGCAAAGTGCACTGTACCGAGATAATGTATCTTATCGACTCGTCTCGCAAATTCATGTCCGTACATCATGTCATATTAATCCGCCTTTGGCAAGTCTGACACCGATGTTTTCAGAACATTAACTACATAATATTATGTAGTGTTACAAGTCCATATCTATGACGTTTGACGTTGTACTTTATATAAAATGGAGGGTATTCATCCATCCACTTCTATCGCTTTTATGGTCATCGTATTATGCCCTACCCAAGATTTAAAACCGTGACCTGCTAAACATGCTGACCATTAGACCATGACCATTAGGTCTGTTATATAAGTAAAATCGAATAATAAATATAAAAGAAAATTATTAAATTTTTTAAACACCTGGTTTTAATCAGCTTCTTGAGACAGAAGCAATTGCAATATTTTGACGATTCAACAATGTCATGGCAAGCACTTTACAACCATTTCACGAACTGTCGCAGTTTACGATTTGAACACGACGTATCTTGCGCTTACTTTGTGATTCGGAAACAAAAAGATATATTCAGCCCCGTTTCGTGAAATTGCAAAAGACAAAATAGAAATGACGCTATTCCAAAAATATTTTTCGGTAAAAGTTCCGAAAGGCTTCATTTTCGATATGAAATGGTTGCTGTGCATGAAGCCATGTGATTGCGGACGCCTTAGTAAGAAAATAACGAAATAATTTGTACACGTTTAGGATAGGTAAGTGCCCTCAATTAATGCGAGTATATTTGTGACACTTCCTGCTAAATCAATTTATGTAAATTTATAGAGAATTTTGAAAAATAGATCTTTCGCGATCCTTTTATGGGGCATGGAAAGACATATTTATTGATCAATACGGGACTTAGACGAGTCGGTACCCTTACGGTGTTTTCTTTTACTGTACAAGACATAGACATCTCGCACGTCGAAAGAAAAACCAATTGCCTAAAGCCATTGCAATGATGATGAACGTGATGTTAGGCTAACGATGCGTTAAGTTTGGAATATTTTATATCTTAGTTATTTGTTACGATTGATAAAATATTATAAACCTGTTTTTGTGTTCTTCTATTGAATATCAAAACAAATAACGATTACGATTCTTCTAATTTATATTTAAAATACAAATCTTCAAAAGAAATCTATTATAAGTGCGTATATATAACGACATCTACTAAGAGGTACGAATTTCTATTTGCCTATACATTCTAAAACGCAGCAAATCCCCGTGGAGATTTTATAACAATAATGTTATTAATTGACTTACTCTTAGGCAACTAGGTGATCAGGAAGGTAGGTTTTTGTAATAGCTTCCCAAAACCTTAACAAATTCCCTCTCGGCTGCGATGGACATTAAAGAAACTACTTAATCAGCAACGCAATCGAAGTATGGCATAACGTTTTATTATCTTTAAATGCTTAATCGCGGCTTCGACTTGTTTAACCTGGATTTGAACCTGACCCCCATCAATGTCACGTGTAATGGGACTTTCATACAAAGAGCAATTACCAGAGTCACTGGCACAGTGCGGTGAAGGTCAGGTGTTCGACTCTGATTGAGTCAATCTATTTAATTGTAGGGCTTTTATCGTTATTGCCCATTGTGCCTGACTATTAATAAATTATCATTAGACATTATAATTAAATAGAATCGGTAGGAACTCCTAAGCGTTTAAAATAAATAATTAATTAATATTTAGTTAGATATTTTAAAAATAAATTTGTATGTTAGTGAAACACTATTAAGTTTATTTAGTCAAATACTATTTATGGAAATCATAAAATTTCATTGAGGTAATTTTGAGAAAATTTACCCGTTTGAAAATAAAGGCATAATGAGATTTAAAATGCCTGAAATAATAAATAATGTGAATAAATTTTAACCTGCTTTAAAGTAAAAATAATTGCAGTTAATAATTTAGTCAAGTGGAATGAAAACATTAATTTATTGACATATAAAGTTATTAAAACATCTAAAAGTAAATAAATAAACAAGAGATACTCACCGGCACCAATTAATAAAATCGCAAAAGGCCACATATTTCGATTTGAAAAATGTTTCTTCAATTCGTCACAACCCCTCCGACTGACAAAGCCCACTAGCGCAGAAAGTGTATCGACATTGTTTTTATGTACATATATCTAATATATAATACATATTATGTATCAAGATCACTTCGCCTTGTCGGCCAGTGCTGCACTGCTAAATTCTCCACGACTTGTGACACACAGACTGACAGCATGATAAGCGTGTTATCGGTACATTTCGTGTTATGGTCATTTTAACTGTTCTTCCAGATAGTCAAACAGGTAGGACATCTATTGACAACTGTTTAAAATAAACGGCTGTATAATATCCAGTCAAGGACATAATATATTAAATAACGTTTAATTTATAGGATATGACTCTCGGACTGGGGTTAACTAAATCAACTAATCTAGGACTAATATCTGCAGCTGAGTTTCGTCATCAGAAGTCAAGGCAGCATACGAAATTCCAGCCATATCACCACGACGTCCGTGGTTCCACAACTGAGTGTTTCTTAAGACCGTATTTACCAGCTGCCCGCTGAAGTAATTCCGAGCCAATTCGACTTAGGGTCCTTCAAGAAAAGAGCGTACCAATTCTTAAAAGAAAGGCAACGCACTTGCGAGCCTTGTGGCAATATGAGTGTCCATGGGCGGCGGCATCAATTAAGATCAGATGAGCCTCTTGCCAGTTGGCCCTGGCGTTATAGAAAACATAAGCTCTTGAAATTAATATTTTATTTTGGTAGATAAAACCAAAATGCACAATTATAGATTTTCATAATAATAATAATCAATTATTTATCTTTGTGCATAAGTGTTATCATAGACCAAATCGAAAGATATCAGAATTAGTGAGACAAGGAGCAATTGGTATAATTTGTTTTAACTTTTATAAAACCTGTACTATGACCAAAAGTTAATTCGATATAATCCTCAGTGTCGGTATATCACAATGTATAGTGCGCTGCGCGCAGGTCACCTAATTTTCTAATAAAAATTCCGTGAGGGAAGCTGGCAACACCGGGACTGTAATTTATTAATATTGCTATTAAATTAATAATTACGTATTTCAAAATTAGTTTTCCTTCTGATTAGATTGGAAAGTTTCATAAGCTGGAAAACAAATGTACTTTGCTGAGCGAGAGGCGATTAAATAGTGGTTTTGGATAATGTCTTACAGGCATTAGAATAAATAGAAAATGCTACACTTTGCTTATTTTACCGATTAATTCTTTTATTGAAACGACTATCGACTGATAAGCGTAGAAAAATCACCAATGTTAAGAAATATTTGTGTGAATTGAAAGCATTTTCAGCAATAAAACGGAACAACAAAAATATAATCAGATTTATTAGCAGTATTGGGATGAAAAATTAATTAATATCATTTCGATTAACAAGGGATTACTGCTGTCAAAATCGTTGCAGGTCGTTCGGAACATTTAAATAGCAGTTGAGTCTGCTCTGCATTATATATATTTTTATTATTATCCCATCTAGGTTCGAAGAGGAGCTAGCTGAGGTCGGAAAGGGGATGAGTTTTTAAGGGTAAAAAACGGTTTATCTCGATTTCCGGCAAAACTAAAAGTCCTATGGAAAAAAGTCTAATCTTGACGTATTGTTTGTAGATAATAAAAAGATATAAAACTGTTTTATTACACAACACAACACTTTTAACACAACCTCAAAATTTTGTGTGCTTTCAAATCTCTACTTTCCGATGGTAAAAAAATAGTATATATTACTATAGTGAATCTTCTAACTCACTCATTCCCTTTCCCGACCTCAGATCGCCCATAAATTATTTTTATTATACTCTCCTCCTTTTCCAATGGTTTTCATCCTACTTTTTTTTTTTTTGGTTTCAAAAATTATCCATCCTGGTCTAAAAACCAACTTACGTGTCTTAGAAGCTCTTATCGTTTCGTGTTATCAGCAGTCGAGGTCTGAGGCCCGAGGTATTCCAATACGTATAAAAAATATAAAAGACTTAGGGAAAAGTATTTACTACAATTAAACACAAAAAATATCCGGCGGTGATACATATACATTATAGAATTAATAAAATATAATTATACTAGAAAGACACACTTTGAATCTGCTTGACAACGGGTGCTCTTGGTATAATATGTATACAGGGTCGGCCAAAAAGTCGTGGATCAAACGCAAATAGGGGATAGATGAGGTCATCAGCTGCAAAAAATTGTTCTACGAGAGGTCTCCAAGCTCAACCCCTGCAGAGTTATAATTTATTTTGCGTTTTATAAGAAAATTCATGTACGTAACCCTCCAGCCATCTGTCCAATTTTTTTAATGTAGTCTTATTCACACAGTACTTACTGGTCACAGGTAGGTAAATAAACTATTATAAGTCCGAATCGTTGTTGTTTTTTCGTCCTAGAAAGATATTAGAGCAACTCATGGCCATAAGTCCTTTCAGAATCCCTATTAAATGCGCCAAAACTTGTAATACAGGGTCACTTTTCGGTAGAGTAATTTTTTTCTCAGTGGGGTCCGAAGTAAACAAAAAGTTTTGATTTGAAAAAAATGTATAATATCGTATAACTTAATATTATCTTCAATACACTACAATAAACAACTATAAATAGTATGTATTAAGCAAGAACTCATCAATATCAATCTAGTGGAAATTATGAAAAAGATATAGGATGCAGATTTTTTCGAATTTTAATAAGCATTAGTAAAAAAAATTCAATCTTCTTATAAAACGCAAAATAAATTATAACTCTGCAGGGGTTGAGCTTGGAGACCTCTCGTAGAACAATTTTTTGCAGCTGATGACCTCATCTATCCCCTATTTGCGCTTGATCCACGACTTTTTGGTCACCCTGTATATAATTAACGCGATTGGCCACGTCAAATTCATAGTATTTTGTGGGTACGTGTCTGTATGATATCGGTAATCCTCACTTGATTTGTCAAATCTGATCTCAATTTTTAAGTAAGTAAGTAGGTGGCGTAAGGATCGATAACCTGATTTATATAGATAATATTTATCTTAAATTAAAGTCTGGGCAAAGGGTTTATTAGGATTTGGGTACCAAGTTCAGGTCAGCGGTTGAAATATTTCATTCGAGTTTTTACCCAAACTTTCAGTGGCGTTAAAGTTAGATTGAATATATTCGTAAAATATATGCGTTCTGATGGATATTTCAGTTATATGTTATACTGGATTTCAATCGGAGACATGTTTTGACTTATAGAATGTATTTTAAACATTATTATTATTACTAGACGTTGTAAGTGCTTTTTAGAAAACACGGCAAATTCAAGAGCATGTTAAGGAAGTTTATTATAATGTACATTTATAACCTCATAATCTTTCTTTTTTGATGCTAAAATTATGATTTAGTTTAACTGATAACTGTTCAGTCTCTGTTTGTACACTATATTGGACAGCATTGACGAGTGTCAATTGTCACTCCTTCTATCCATACAAAATCTGTGGAGTTCGATTAAACTCTGTCAATAGGAAATAAAGCGAGCATTACACATACAACTGAATGTCGAAATCGAAGTAGCTTTTGACAATTTTTACAATGGGCGTGTTCGGCCGAAGTAAGTACTTACTAAACTTAGTAAGCCAGTAAGCATAAAAAAATTAAAGTCTTACAAGCTGACTGTAGCGCTTTTCGGCCAGGACAGACTTACTGGCTTATTAACATAACACAAAACACCGGTTTATGTCATATCCCGTACATAACCTCATAGACTGAATATAATTGACAGTACTAAATTTAGGAATATAATTTAATACCTGTGAATAGTTTCAAATGGATAATTTTATGAGAAATATTTTATTGGATATTTTATTGTCCGTTTTGTTTACATCAACAATAAGCAAAATGGCGTCGTATATTAAGCCATACTTACTGCGTTAGCACTTATTTTGTGTCCCGGCCGAAAATTTTGTAAGCATAGTAAGTGACTTACTAAATTTAGTAAGTACTTACTTCGGCCGAACACGCCCATTACCTGCTTTATGTCTTTTTCAAAGTTATAAACACGTAATCACGTTATTTGTAGATATTGTTATTAGTTTGTAATTCATTGATTAATTAGTTTGTTTATTAGAAATGTTTCATTCTTCACCGTAAGAGGTAAGTACATAGTATTGGCATGACGGAAAATTTCTTTAAATTAGCAGAGGTCAGAATCTCATGAAAGGTAGCGTAGTCCCATTAAGCGAAAATAAAGTAAATTTTACTGATCGGTTTATAAATAAACGTAAAACAGTGATAATATGATGATTTGTTTTCGTAATTTACATATGAAAATGACAACATCGGACTATTCATATATTGTAATGAAATGCAAGTTATAGAGAACACACTTATCCAATATTTTCAATACAATTACAATATTATGCAAAATGAATAAACATTCTTATTGCACTTCACGAATGACTTCCCAGATTAGAATAACAAAAGAGCATCGTCCATCCAAAGACTAAAACGGCAATAAACAACAAAGGAGGCTCTCACGTCAGTCGATGTTTATATTTAAATTCACACCACAATAAAACATACTAAATTTACTTGCATTTCCTAGGACCTTCGAAGGATCTTCTGGAGCTTCTGCTCAATAGCTTTCTCAATGATTGTCGTTCATTACCATTGCAATGCCCACGCCAGCCTCCATTATGCCTCAGCCACAATAATGGACATTCACGAGAATCTGTAACTGACCATTATCGAATGCGATCTCACAGTTATAGTTTAGTGAAATGTGTTTAGGGAACGGATCGTTTCTTATTTGCACGACAATAGTTTGTTTCATAATCAGTAGTTTTATTATTTAAAACTCAAATACATAGATTATATCTACTTCCAGTACCTATACGTCGAATAATATATCAAACAGCAATTGCCTGGTTTTAATAATAATAATAATCTTTATTCATTTCTTACATAAACAAGTGACAGTTATATACTATTATAAATAAATAATTGTCTTACTTCTGTTTAGGGAAAATGCTTTGTGTGAGA